ATAGAGAGAGAGAGAGAGAGAGAGAGAGAGAGAGAGAGAGAGAGAGAGAGAGAAGACTCTAATAGCGGCGTCCTACAAGAACCACTCATGCATAGAACATTTGAAAAGAGTTACAACGAGCGTGCCCCTACCCTACCAACCACAGCTAGATAAAACAATACATGTACAGTCGAAATCGATGACGGCCACCCATTGCCAAGCAGAAGAGCGGTATGCTTAGACATGTAAACGTCTTGGCCAGTCTCATTATAGTGTAAAAATCTATTTAAAAGACTCTAGGGAGACAGAAGAAAGTGGACATTTGTACAGGTGATTATCTTGGACAGGTGAGCGTTAGAGCAGCTTGGACTGTACACGCCCACTCACAAATGCACTATATTCGACAGCTGAGAGGACTGTCTCCTTCAGTACTCACCATTCGGGTTTTTATCCATGCTGGCCACACCGTTTTCCCGGGCTTTCTTGGTCATGGACACGGGTTCTCGCGCCACAAGGGGCACGGCGGGTGAAAGTTCATGGTCATACAGGCCAACAGAAAAAGCTGAAGGTATATCCAGAAACTGCTACATAATCCTTGAAACGGGTGAACACCATTGAAGTCCAAGGGGAAGATATCCAGTCATAGAATTTACCTGGGGAGAATTAAAAGTTACAGATTAGATCAAGAATTAAGTGCGTCTTAAAGGAATCACGTGAACACCAAGAGAGTATGGTCCGACATCAATCAAATTGCATTGTCTTATTGAGTCCCAGAAAAACCTTTTTTTTAAATCTATCACATTTTTTTAAAGACATGGTATGCCTGTATTCTAGCAAGTGTATGTCTGTGACAATTCTCAATCATCTATTCTGATTTTTTTTCGTGAAGCTAAGATAATATTGTCCGCTATAATCCAAACAATCGACTGAAACGCTCGCTGATTTTTTGGCCACACGTATTCACAGATGTTAACTTTCAGATACAATCAAACACAAATAACCGTAGATGAAATTAAATGCTGACAGAGTTTTAGTCTGTGCAGCATTTGTTTTGTCCTGTCATCTCAACGATAAAGCCTTTCTTCATGTTTGCAGTTTATAAAATTTGCGCAGTAACCTTACCCAGAGTGGTTTCTTAAAGTACGTTGTATAATGTAAACAGAGATACAGTGGCACAGTTACTGTCATTTAGAGTTGAAAAAATGTTTAAAGGATAGATAAAGGAAGTATACTGAAAGAAGGTGGGACCCACCAGTTTGAAACTGCCTCACCGGGACTAAACACACAAACACACATACACACACACACACACGCACACACTCACACACCCACACATACACACGCACGTAAGCACAGGTGCACACACACACACACACACACACACACAC